CGCAGCCCGTGGTGTCACCAAGGGGTGCAGACACCCCACGCCTTCGCGGCAGATGTGACACAGCCCACGTGAAGTGACACAGGCGGCCAGCACTGCCCGAGCCCCCACAGGGCAACAGCAGAACGGGGCTGGGCTGCGGGGACACAGCCACATCCTCCTGCCAGCACCAGCACGGTGGGCAAACCGGGGCAAAACGCGATGGGGCTGAGCTGAGCTGCTCACCCTGCAGTGCTGCTTTGGGGCTGAGCTGTTCACCCCTCCTGCAGTGCTGCTTTGGGGCTGAGAGCTGCTCACTCCTGCTCTGCTGTTTTAACCCTCAGCACTGCCAGGCCCGTTCCCAGCTCAGTGAGCACAGGAAGGATTTCAGCAGCTCAGTGTCCTGCAGCCCCGCAGAGCTGCCACTGCGCTGCCCTGCTGCTCAAGCAGGGGGAAAATTCGCTTTTGTCACCCCATTTCCCTCTTTTAGCTCTACACCCCCAAGGAAAGCTGTGGGTAGAGAAGCTCTGCTAGCTCTCCTCTCCTGAGACTGGTGCCCAGTGCTGAGCTGGGCAGAAGCTGAGCAAGACACCTGCAATTGTTACAGCAATAAAGATTTTCCTGTGCTTCTGGATAATACAGAGCCACAAACAGCAACAAGCTTTTCTTGTTCATGGAGGCACTTTGTGCAGGGAATATTCAACACATGCACACCGAGCCAGCAGGCATTTCATCCCTGAAACAAACACCAGCCCTGGCACTGCCAAGGATGAGAGGGTTTTCCAGGCCCAGACCAGCTGGAAGCTTGGCTTAACAGATATTAAAAACCACGAGGTTTTGGGGTGTAAAACTGCAAGAGCTCTGTGCTCTGCAGATACTTCCTGTGGCTGAGCTGAGGAACTTTCCTTTTGAGCAGGTGTTGGAGTCTCTGAAAGCACCTTGCCCACAGAGCAGTGTCACCCTCCTGCCTTCAATCCCCTCACTGTCACACCCCCACACTCATGTTATATACATTATAAATAACTATATACATATATATATACACACATATATATATATACATATATATTTTATACTGAGGTATCCAACAAAGCTGAAAAAAAGGGAGATAAAAGAACCATTTAGCCTGGCCTGGGTGAACACTGAAGAGCAGTGAGCTGTTCTCTGGTCCCTCTGGAGGCACGGAAACAGTGAAGTTTCACAGGATGGGTGCTGCACATGGCTCACCAGAGCCCCTCTTTATTACAGAGCCCCTTCTCGAGCCTCCCCAGCCTCTGGGCGCTCGGCCTGGCCCTGCCCGGGGCAGAAGCGTTCCAGGAATTCCAGGTAGGCTTTCTTCTGCGCCGCAGCCGCGGGGATGAAGTGCCCGCCGGGGTGCGAGAGCACCACGGGCTCCACGAAGCACTGCGCCANTAAAACCATCTGGGAAACACATCACCCTCCCAGAGTGCCCCATCCCCACGCCTCTGGCAGTCCTGCTGGTGGGGACAGAGGAGGAAGAGCGTGAGATGAGTAAGGCTCAAACCCTGGCACGAGCTGCACCTGAGCCAGGCACGGCGGGATGTCGCTTTTTCCAGTGCTGCCCACAGGAACCCCTGCCCGTGCCTGGTGTGCCCCAAATGGGTGGCTAGCAGGGCAGTGACAGTGACCTTAAGGTGGCAGTGGCATGGAGGGAAGGGTGCAAGGAGCTGGGGAGAGGTGGGAAAACAGCCGGGAGTTTGCAGGGAAGCAGCAGCACCGGCAGCCTGGGCAGCACTGGCAGAGTCTCTGCTCATGCCAGGCTCCTCCTGCCCTCCCCAGACACTGGGACAGGGCTGGGGCTCTGCTCACCCAGGGAAGGGGCTGCAAAGCTCTGCCTGGACTCCATGCCCTCCTCACAAGCAGGGCCACAGCCAGGGTCCCTCCTGTCCCTGAGGTCACACAGGTGGATCCCATGGCTGCACTGGGGCATGGAAAGGCACATCTGGAGACAGGGGTGACATCCCCCCTGCTGCAACACCCAGGCTCCCAGTGCCGCTGCCAACACTGGTGATTGTCCCCGGGGCCCTCTTGTCCCAGGCAAGTGGCACAGCTGCCACCCAGACCCCGGGCTCCATCACCCCCCTGTTCAGCAACAGCAACTGGGCCACGCTGTTTTGGGGGAAAAATCAACTCCCCTGGGCTAGGCTGGGTGATGGAAAAGGGAACTCCCCAGCATGATGGAGCTGAGTGAGGGGTGGGAGGACATCAGCCAGTCTTGTCTCCAGGCTCACCCCTGCGGGCAGCCAAGTTCTGTGGCTGCATCCCAAGAACAGACCTGGATCTGCGAGAGAGGCAGGGGCCAGCCCGAGGGCATCAGGCCAGGAAAGGAGGGAGAGGACAGAGTTCCCACGGCAAACCCCTCGGAGCCGCTTCCCTCCTCCCACCCCACCGGGACCAGGCAGGACCTCCCTGCGCTGCTCACACAGGCACCTCCTGCGGACAGAAGTCGCGTTAATCTGTTTTAATAATTTATTTAAACCGCTACAGCAGACACCCGGCAGGAGCCATCTTTATGCAGACGCCGGGAAAGGGGCAGGAACCGCAGTTCGGGTCACCCATCCCTCCCCGACCCACCGAGGGAGCTGCCTGCAGAGCTGGGACCGTGCTGCTCACTCACCGCACCCTGAGCTGCTTCCCTTTCCTTCCTTCTCTTC